CATAGTATGTGGTCTTTTATACCTAGCTTCTTTCATTTAGCATAATTATTTCAAGGTTCATCTGTGTAGTAGCGTGTATTCATACTTCATTCATTTTTATTGCCAAGTATTCCTTTGTATGGCTAATAACACCTTTTGTTTAATCCATTCATTAGTTGACAGACATTTCGATCATTTCCCCTTTGGCCATTCTAAGTAATACTACTACAAACATTCACATTTTGTGTGATTATATACCTTCATTTCTCTTCGGAGTGTACCTGGGAGTGGAATTTCTGGGTCACAGGCAACCTCCACATTTAACATATTTCAGGCAACCTCCACATTTAACATATTTCAGAACTGCCAACTATTTCCCAAAGTGGCTAAACCATTTTATATAACCCCAGTGATGTCTGACGGTTCCAGTGTTTCTACATCCTCACCAACAACTATTATCTTTTTTATTATTGCTATCCTGGTGGTATAAAGTTGTATTTTATCGTGGTTTTGATTAGCATTTCCCTGATGGTTAACAACATTGAGCATATTTTCATGTGCTTATTGGCTGTTTGCTTATATTTTTGTCAGAGAATTGTCTGAGGTCCCTTACCCATTTAAAAATTGAGATATTTATCTTTTAAACTATTGAATTGTACAAGCTCTTTATATATTCTGCATACAGGTCCCTTATCTGATACATATATAATTTGCAAATACATGTATCCCCTGATTTTCAAGTTTGATTTATGCCACTTCATTGTATCAGTACTTGCTTTTGGTGACTGAAAGAAATCCAAAGAGATTTTCACCTTTACAAAAAAAGGCAAAGGTAAAAATAACATCCCGTGTTTTTTTACTGCTGTTATGGAAAAGATGTGCATTCCAAGCAGTGCGCACGGCACCGCCAAGTTCCTTCCCCAGCAACTACACGCTGTATCTTGGCATCAAGCTGCATGAGTTTGAACTGTTCCTGTGATTATCTGTGCTTTATCTTTTTCACTGAAGTATAGCTGATTTACAATGTGTCAATAACTGCTGCACAGAAAATTGCTCAGTTATACATGTTAATATATATACATTCTTCTTTAATATACTCTCCCATTATGGCTTATCATAGGATAATGAATAACGTTTTCTGTGCTATACAGTAGGACTTTGTTGTTTAACTCCTTTATGTTGATTTATTTTGTGCATCTGTTAGCAAGATGTGTCCTAAGGTATGTGCTGCTTTGCTTTACACCACTGTGGCATATGTAAGCTTTCATAAGAACACTCTGCTTTCAGACAGCAGAGGAAATCTTTTTACTTTGCCACCTTAAGGGCCATATTTTCACTCTCTTCATATTATTTGCTTCAAAAAAAATTTTTTTAAAACTTAAAAAAAGATTAAATTTTGATGTAGTCTAGTTTTATTTTTCCTTTTTGCCTGTGCTATTGGTGTTTTATCTAAGAAACCATTCTCTAACCCAGGAAGGTGAAGATTACTCCCTATGCTTTGTTTGAGCAGCTTTATACTTTTGGCTCCTACTTTTAGATCTTATTTTCAATTAATTTTGGTATATGGTGAGAGATAGTGGTCTAGCTTCATTGTTTTGCTAGAACACTGTTTTGCTAGAACTATTAATATTTGGTTGTCTTCATGTGCTTTGTTTTTATTAGTATTTGCCTATTATACTTTGTCATTAGTTTTTGAGATCATTATAACTTTGTAATTTACTTTTTATTTTATTGAAATATACTTAGTTCCCCAACCAGGGATCAAACCTCTGCACCCTACACTGACAGTGCAGACTCTTAACTTCTGGACCACCAGGGAAGTCTCTGAAATATAGTTTATTTACAATGTTGTGTTGATTTTTGTTCTATAGCAAAGTGATTCAGTCATATACATATATATATACATTCTTTTTCATATTCTTTTTAAAATATTTATTTATTTGGCTGCTCTGGATCTTAGTTGTGGTATCCAAGATCTTGGCATGGGAACTCCTAGTTGGGGCATGTGAGATTGAGTTCCCTGATCAGGGATTGAACCGGGGCTCCCTGCATTGGAATCGAAGAGTCTTAGCCATTGGCACTAGGGAAGTCCTTTTTTTCATATTCTTTTCCATTAAGGTTTGTCACAGGAATAACTTTGTAATTTTGATGGAAGATATGTAACATGCAACAATTATCCTCAGTTTTACAGATTTGTGGAAAAGTCTGCAATTAAGTGAATTACTCACAAACCCATGCACAGAATGGAAAGTCAGTACTATAACAAAGAGTTGGATATGACTTAGCGACTGAACAACTATTGATAGGATAGGCGTTTTCTAAGTCTCACCCCATCCCAAGAGTGACTGCCTGCCCTTTGAGTCATTTAAATATGTCCCCCTGAACCCTGAAATATTCACAACAGCCCTTGACCTGGAGTGGTCAGGAGGGAATTACTAACCTTATGCTTGAGGAATGGAAACCTTCAGAACAATGGGCTGTTGGGAAGATGACAAGATTCTGAAGAAGTTGTCCGGGACAATCAAGACACTTTCTACACCACAATATTTCTACTAGTTTAGTTTTTTCCTATCTTTATTTGTTACCTGTATAAATTTTATTTGCACAGTTGCTTTTTCTCCCATTCATTTCATTGGTCTCTGACTGAACGATTTGACTATTGTACTCATTTCTTGAGCATTAAGAAAATTCCATGTAAACACACAGGAATAGGGAGGCTAAAACAGAAATGACGAAATATGAAATCTTGAGGCTCTGGAAGTCCATAGTCTACCTCGGGGTTTTCAACCTTGGCACTGCTGACATTTCATCAGAGAACTCTGGGCTGTGGAAGGTTGTTCTGTGCATCGTAGGATGTGCAGAAGCACCTCTGGCATCTAACCACTAGATGTCACTAGTAGCGCCTGTGAGCCAGTCGTGACGACCAACACGTCTGCAGAGACGGCCGGACGTTCCCAGAGGCAAAATTACCTGCAGCCGAGAACTATGGTGGTGCGGGGTCGGAGAACACTCTCGAGAGTCCCTTGGACTGCAAGGAGATCCAACCAGTCTATCCTAAAGGAGATCAGTCCTGGGTGTTCACTGGAAAGACTGATGCTGAAGCTGAAACTCCAATACTTTGGCCACCTGATGCAAAGAACTGACTCCTTGGAAAACCTCTGATGCTGGGAAAGATTGAAGGCAGGAGGAGAAGGGGAAGACAGAGGATGAGATGGTTGGATGGCATCACTGACTCGATGGACATGAGTTTGAGTAAACTCCGGGAGTTGGTGATGGACAGGGAGGCCTGGCGTGCTCCAGTCCACGGGGTTGCAAAGAGTCAGACACTGCTGAGCAGCTTAACTGAACTGAGAACTATGGGTTTAACTATATAATATCTTTCTCATATTCTTTAATCTATAATCTCTAATATAGCAGTTAAATAAATGGTTAAGTATTTTTAAAATTCTTACATGTTCTGCATCTTTATTTTGTATCGCATTATGAAAATCCACGTGTTACATGTCAAAAGTGGAACAGCAGACTGATAACCCTGTTTGATGTGCCACTCTGTTACTATAACCCTGAATGTAGTAATTAGGAAGCAGTGTTTTTGAAAAGTGAGGGGAAAAAACAGCACCCATCAAAAGTGGTGCCTGATAGCTTCTGATTTCTGAGGCCTATGAGACACAAAATCCATCAGAGCTAAGAAAGCTCTAATATTAGTATAAATTCTCTAGAATGCTTTCAATAATTTATGAATATATAATCTGGTGTTCCTTGTTCTGCAAAATTAAAAGACATTAGACCTACACTTGATTTATGTAAATTTGAATTTTTATAGCATGTGTATTCATATCTTCGGCAAGATTACAATATGTCAAGAAAAAGACCCCAGTTATATGTTCTACACAGACTTGATTTTTGGCTTCTGAGAGCTTTTAGTGCTACTAGATCAAATCAAGGAGAACCTGCTCAAGCCTTCACAAAACTCTTCCTTGTGCTTATTTGGAATAAAGCAGACATCATTTGGGAGAAGGAAATGGCAACCCACTCCAGTATTCTTGACTGGAGATTGACAGAGGAGGCTGGTAGGCTGCCATCTATGGGGTTGCACAGAGTCGGACATGGCTAGAGAAACTTAGCAGCAGCAGACATCACTTAGAATATAAAATACTGAACAATGATATCTATATTTACAAAAATACACAACCATATTCTGGTAGTTAATTAAAATGTTCATCTAGAAAAACCCATTTGGATCAGGCAGTATGCAGTAGATTTTTCCACTGTCAAAGCTGTTCCTTTAAGTCAGGCACTCATATTAAAATTAGTAGTCCTGTTTTTGGCACTGGGACATCTGACTCTAGATTGAGCACCTGTTCGCCTTACTCCTCATCTTCTGCATCTTTTGTCACAGAGGATTTATTTTTTGCTTTGTTTTCAATTTCTTTATTCATAGTGATACAAAATTGTTTTTGGCATCTCTGCATGCATTGTGACGGAAAAGATCACCAGAAACAGATTTCCAAGTTCCATCGAAATAGTTATAGCAAAGCATACGGGGGGGAAAAAAAATTCTCAGTGTTTCCCGTTAAGCCACAAAAGGAAAAGATAGTTTTCTTAAAATATCAAAGTCAATGTTAAATTTTATTCTGGCTGGGAACAATAACGCCCAATGTCAGCGTCACACTGTTCAGATGTACAGCCACTCAGCAAAGCAATTTCGAGTCTTTCTACTTTTGTGTGTTATCTTTCGACTTGTTTGACTTTCAGGAGTCCCCATGCCATTTCTCACGGTCGGGGCTCTGCAGGGGAAAACTCCCTCGGGAGTCCAGGTCGCTCCCCTAGTCTCTAGCTCATCCCGGTACCGGGAGCCGGATTTGCACCCCGTGGAGGGTGCTAACTGATGGTCCCGAGTTCTCATCCCACGTAAGCTTCCCTGTGAGCCCACCACAGTAACCTCAGACCCCACAGGTCAGCCGGGCCATCCCCGGCAGCGGTGGAGAGGACACTGACCAATCCCACGCCCTTGCCCCCTATCAGCTCCGATTTCTGGGCACCACCACCCCCAGGGGAAGGCAGCCGTCCCTCGGCTTCTTTCCCGGAGGGCTCGAAAGGAAACCGGGCTCTCCAGGTCCCGTGGCAGGGCCCGGCGGTCCAGGGGCGAAGCCGGGCGGGGCCGCGGCGGGCGCGGGTTCGAGCGCCCGAGGCGCGGGCGGAGCATGTGACCACGCCGCACGGGGCCGGGCTCGCAGTGCCGCGCGGCGGCGGCGGCGGGGAGAGCAATGGAGGCCGTGGCCGCCTGAGAGGCGGGTGCGCTGCCGGCGCTGCTGCGGAGGCTGCTGGTGCCGCGGGAGCGCCGCGGGCATTGCACTGGCGCCCGCCGCCCGCGCGGGATCGCCATCGCCATCTAGCCACTTTCCCAGCCCCGGCTCCCGGCCGGGACGTCAGGTGAGCGCCCTCCCGGCCCACGGCCGGAGCCAGACAATGGGTGCAGCGGGAGGGCTTCTCCTGTTCGCCAGCGACCCCCGGGCCAGGCCCCCGCGGCGGTGCGGGATCCCCGACCTTGCCCCTGCCCTGGGTTAGCGGGCTTGGCTGGGCGGGTCGTGGACTTCGGGGCGGTGTCCCCGCGCGTGCGGCGCGGACCCTCCCCGAGGCACCCGGCGCGTGGTGTGCGCGGCTCTGGATCCCACGCGAGGGACCTGCGGACGGGCTGCGCCCCCGGTAACTTGCCGAAAGCGTGGGACCTTTACATTCTCTCTGTCCTTCCCGCGACGCGGCATCCGGTCCTGGGGTCTCCGGCTCGGGTCCCGGCTGTGGCGGGGGTCAAAGCGAGACCTCGCCGTCTGGGATCTCGGGCGCGGACCGGGCTCAGCCCTGCCTCCCACCGCCCCCACCTCCCAACTGCATTGCTTTGTTTAACCTCTGCCGAGCCATTTCGCACAAACTCTTGTCCCAATTCGGATGAGCCACCAGTTTGATGGCTGAGGCAAGACAAAGGTTTTCCCTGTTTACAAGGGCTGGAGCCGGGAGACCGCACGCTGCCAGTGATGTAAAAATGTATTTTCCTTATCTTCTCCCCCAGGTTCTTGCCATGGTTTTCCTGGTTCTGTAACCGTTCTTTCTTGCAGAGCTCTGTAGTGGCGAGATTGGACCTCCTAACCCTACCGAGACGGTGGGTGGGGAATGGCTTTTATTCCTGCTTATCAGTAAACAGAAGGGCAGAGGGTTACGTTTGAGGTGTTCTCAGAATAGAGGCATCGTAATCGTTTTCTGAATTCTACATTTCAAGAGACAAAAAAAAAATGTTTCAAGACACATGGATTCAGTGGATGGGCGGGGTGGCAGGGGGCAGAAAACCTAGTAACTATGAACATGTGTTGTGAAATTTTAATATGGTTTTAAGAATAATGGCCCGGAAACTGATCTGGTGTAGGTGAGGGAGTGCGTGTGTGAGGGGGGGTGGTGTTGCTGGAGAGGGAGTGGTTAGAATACAAAGGATAAGGCAATTTCAGTAAAAGGTTCTTAGTCAATATCCTGTAGCAAATTTTCAGTTCATCAAGTTGTCATTAAATCATCATTCTAATGTAAAAATCACCTGTAGTAGTTGTTGAATTATATATAAAATGGCTAACAATTATTTGGCATTGTAATGTGACTCAGGAATCTGAAAACAACAGTCAATTTTGAGTAATTTTAAAAAATCAACAAAGGAAAGATGCTTCCACCACTCCCTCCTTTATTCTATGAGAAAACTGAATCCTGGTTGAATATATTCAACAGAAAATTAACCTGTAAGAAAAAAAATTTCAAAGGCAGGTTTTTTTAAGAAACATTTTTGAAAAATGCATCTTACATAAGTGATATGGTTGGTTTCATTACTTCAACTCAGATATGTGAAGGGAAGAAAATCAAGGCTACTAGATTGCCCTTTTCCAGTGTTAAAACATAGTTTCTTCCAAACCCCTATATTTACAGTCACCTTTGAAATGGAGAAACTTTCACTCTAAAGACTTAACAGTCACTTAGCACTGAATTTGGAGTTGGGAAGATAATACTGACTTGACATACTTACACGCAGTTGGTGTGAGAAACAAAAGCTTCCACTGAGGGAGGGGATGTAAGTATACTTATGTCTGATTCATCATTGTTGTACAGCAGAAAACAGCACAACATTGTAAAGCAATTATCCTCCAATTAAAAATAAAATTTTAAAAAGTAAAAAAGCTTCCACATAGTTCTTTGCAAGCTATAAAGCACTGTAATAAATGTTAAGTTATTATTATTGCTAGGTGAGGAAGTTGTATTTTACAATTTTCCCTTACACGGTTTCAGGAAAATTAATTGAAATTAATATGAAATTCTCCAGGCTAGGGGACTTCCCTGGTGGTCCAGTGGTTAAGACGTGGTGCTTCCACAGCAGGGGCACAAGTTCAGTCCCTGGCCAGGGAACTTGAGATTCTGTAAGCAGTGAGACATGGCCAAAAAAAAAAGAAATTCTCCATGGTAAGGGACGGTCTGGTACATACTGGGTGTTCAATAAATAATTGAAGAAAGAGTGAATTAATGAAAAATAAAATGCAAATAGATAAAATATGCATACAGATTGAATTGGTTTACTTCTTTTAGTTTAATGAACATTTCCTGAAGGCCTGTTGTGTGCCAAGAACTGTATGGACTGTTTGCACACACAGTTCATAAAAGCCTGGTCACTTTCCTGTTTTGATCATGTGTGATGTATGTTTCTGTGAAGACCGGGGCCCCTTGGGTCATGTTAATGATCATCTCATATGACTGAGTAGCACAGTAGAACATTTCACTCGTTATATGTACAAATACTTTCTCACAATGGCCTGTGGGAGGCAGGACAGATACTATCATTCCTGTTTTGTAGGTGAGGAAATCCAGACACAGCAAGATTAAATGACTTGCCAGCTCCTCACCACTGAAGCAATAGTGCCAGGGGCAGAACGGGACCTCTTGCCTGGTGCTTTCATCTCTGAATCATGTTGTTTTCTGCCCATTATGCTGCACCTCCACAAAATCTCTCTTGAATTAGACCTCATGAAAAAGTCTACCTTTTGAATAACTTTTACCTAAGGAAAAATTATATCTTACCACCCAGTAAGTGGAATGGTTGAGTGGGAAAATTCTGGAGACAGGTGACTGAAATTTGAACGCTGGGTTTACCACTTGTTAGCTCTGCATCTTTGGCAGGTGACTTCATCTAAGTCTCAGTTTTGTCATCTGTAAAATGGTGTAAGTAGCAGTACCTACCTGCCTTATAGGATTGGGGGCAGGATCACATTAAATAATGTGCTTGGCACAAAGCTTAGCATAATGCTTAGCACAATGTCTAGTAGAAACTAAGCATTCAGTGTCAGCTGATTATTTTTATTCTCATTATTGTAATGAAGCAGTGGCTTTTAAACTTTTTTTTTTTTCACAATAAGAAATGTTTTACTTTGCCGTCTGGTATACAGATACATTACAAATGTGTTTAAGTAAAAAAGTCATTAATCAATGCTTAGACTTCCTATGTGTGCAGTGCATTTTTATATTTTTCATTCTGTTTTATTTAGAAATGCTGGTTGGGATACACTCAATGATTTCACATCTCATTAATGCACCAGGACCTGCAGTTTGAAAAGCGCTAATGTTAAGGATAATCAGGTTAATGAGTGCATTAAAGACAAATCTTTTTTTGAACCTTTCTATTTTTCCTTCTAATTATTTACAGCATCTTCTGAAATTTGAATGTTAAATTACACTGAAAACAGATTCTTAAACATTTCTTAGTAATTATAACCGTATATTGAGTATTTATTATTGTCTAGATACTGTGCTAAGCAGTCTATTTCTGTACGTTATCTAGTTTAGTGCTTGTAACAGCCTTGTAAGAAGGTCTTCTGTTTCCATTTGATAATTGAAATTAAGACTCAAAGAGGTTTTATGAACTTACCCAAGGTCATAAAGTTAGTGAGAGATGAAGCGAGAATTCAGTTCTTTTTGGCCCAAAGCTCTCTGTTCTTCCATCCCCAACCCTCTGTTCTCAGGCTCTCCCAGTGATTTCTGAAGAAGTATTATTCCTTCTCTTAGATAAATTTGAACGGCAATATTGAGAACTTACCTGCTGTGGTACATCTTTTGCAGTTTCCTTTGAAATGACTCATTTGAAGAAAAATTTCAAGTTAGTAAGTAAGAAAGCATACTGCATAGACCAGTATTTCATTTTGACTTTGGCTGGTCTTTGATGTAAACATTTTGGAATAGCTTCTCAGGTTTTTATGATAGAGTCAATTAATTGGTCAGTTTTATTGAGCACCCAAAGGTTTAATATATCTTTGGAAGAGACATGAAATAGCTGTGTAACTATAAAAAGACTTCATTACAAATGAATGTCTGCTTTTGTTAAGGCACAAAATGAAGACTTAAGAGCTACAAAGAGTACTTTATAGTATATTGATTTGTTTCAAACTCACCAGGCAGTTGAAGTACTTATTTTGTAAAGTGCTTGTAAGAAACCACCACTAACTGTACTATTAATTTTTTTGTTTTTCTATTTCAGTTCCTTGCAAATGTTTCTTAAAATTTTAGTAATATTTTAATCTTTTTGGTGGTCCTGGGACTTTTCTCCTCTTTTAAAAATATTGTGAGAAAGAATTAAGGAAATATATTTTATAAATAGTACTTAGAAACACAAATAGATAATTCACATGACAATGGAAGGGCAGATCTCACTGTTTCTTTGCCATTTATGTCTGAGAGATTCAGGCTCTTTTGTTGTCTAGTTGGATGCATAGGATTGTATCTTATAAATAAGATAATTACAAGGTGCTTAAAGATATATAAATACACTCCTGCCTTTGCAATATGGCTTCCATGTGCATGGAGCTTTAAACTTTCACTGGTATGATTAACTAGTTTGCTTGTTGAATTAAGGTTGGTGTTTTCAAAACTGACAGGTCTTTAAAATCAGAGTTTGTATAGATCATGATGATATTTTGGACAAAGAACAGCAATTTCCTGGTTTTGTGAAACCACATATTTTCCTCAACCATCATTTTCTGTTAAGATTAAAGTGAGTATATTGTTTCAGTTATTGTTGAACATCAGATTTTATCCCTAGACGAACCCTCAAAAATTCCTTTTGCTTCTAATGAAATTGTGTATAATTGTCATAAGCTTATATTTTATGCTTATTTTATTAACTTATACCTTTTGTCTAACTCTTAACTCTTAGTGGATTGGCATAGTTTTTGTAAGCATCAAGAAACATTCTAGCTATTTTTTTTTCTAGCTATTTTTTTTCACTAATTTTTTATGTTCAGGCAAGCAAATTGGGTTCTTGTTACATTTTGTACTACTA